CTTTTGGCTGATCTTTTATAGTTTTTGTCTCGATTAGTAAAATTTCTTATTTAAATATTGTAGGGAACACACTAAGGTAGATTTAGCAGTTTTTATTAAGCAAATTTTATATTTTGAAATAATAGATTGCATAATTCTTTAATTAGAGACGCGGTTTGAAAATTTAGAATTACTTTCAAATCTCACTGCAGACCCACAATTTTACGACCAAATAATAGATTTGCAAACTTAAAAGATAGACGTATAGATTTAATTTACAAAAAGTAGCTATAGTATTTTATATTTTTTAATACTTAGGTAGGGGTCGACTTTTTAGTTTTATTTTTATTTTTTGATTAATTTATTTATTTTTAACTTTTTTAAGAATATATTTTTAAGTTTTGAGATTAAAACTAGTCTTTGATGTGATATTTTGTTTTTTAGACTTTATTTTTTATTTATAATGGTTTAGTAGGGCTATCGGCGATGACCTCCATTTTAAAAAAGGTCAACGCGTCGCAGAATAATACCTCCCGGGTGACGTGGAAATTTATTTGTATTTAGACAAAATTAACCTTATGTAGCCTCACCCTCCTGTACACCCACGAGCCGCCACTGAAATATTGTTAAAAGTTTGGCTTAATGCTATAGCATAATTATATATTATTTTAAAGAAATTAATGTCTTATAAATATATATGTATGTTAAAAGAAATAAGTATTATTAAAACTACAGTCAACGCAATATATTGTAGCAATCATTCCCAAGTTCAATTAAAATTTTACTTACCGTTCGAGTCTTGCAAAAATTACTTCTGCTGATATTTGTGTTTGACAGTAGTTACTTTTTAAAATCTTTTTTATGATAACCGTAATCCGCAGTTAATTTAATGTCATGGTACATAAACTTCTTTTTCTACTCCACCAGTGGCGGCTGGGGGATTTTATGTATACCAATATCTCAGTTATTAGACATGGGACCCACACCAAATTTATAATAAACTGCGCACCACTCAATGTGTCGCGACCAAAAAATTCTTTCTTTTTCAGAACGACATAACGTTTTTGTTTCTTGAACGATTTTATTTTGGTCTGTAATGTCTCCTAGCTCTATCTGCTGGCAATTCATGATATAGATATGAAGCTCAAGGTTCTTCAAGTAAATTTCCTACAGGGTGATATGTTAAATGGTGAAAAATTTCAATAACTTCATCCAAGCCCCGTTTGTATATATTTTTTTTTACTTTGAAATAATGAAGTATTATGTCTTACCTTGAAACGTTTTTCAAATTTTTCGAATTGGAATCGTAGCAACGAAAATAAGATTTTTTTCCAAAAGAGTAGGTACCTACATTTAAGGCTTTTTTGTAGGCAATTTAACAGCCGGGAATTGTTTTCGAATTTTGATTCTTAGTGATTTTGGTTTTATGTGAAACTTAAATTTAACAACTAAATCACAATCAGGAGGTCAAAATTATAAAGAAAACCTGTCACGAACGTAAATATTGATTCAGGATTAGTTTTTGCAAATTTTCACCAAAATGTCATTTTGAAAAAGTGGTCTTTGCTTAGGCCCCTCTGAAAATAATGAAAGTTTGTTGCTTGTCGCTTGTTCAGAATTATTCAAGAAACAATCTTTCACCATCTTATCTCCTTGTTCTTAAAAAGATTGAGTGTATTGCCTACCAAAAAGCCTTAAATGCACTCTTTCTAAAAAAATCATATTTTCTTTGCCAAGATTCCAATACGAAAAAACTGAAAACCGTTTCAAGGTAAGACATAATACTTCATTATTTCAAAGTAAAAACGAGAAAAAAATTATTTTTTTTACAAACGGGGCTTAGATGAAGTTATTGAAATTTTTAACCTTTTTACATATTACCCTGTACGAAATTTACTTAAAGAACTGTGAGCTTCATATCTATAGCATGAATTGCCAGAGGATGGAGCTAGCAGAAATCACAGACCAAAATAAAATCGTTCAAGAAACAAAAACGTTATGTCGTTTTGAAAAGGACAATCTTTTTGGTCGCGACATGTTCACATTGAGTGGTGCGCAGTTTAGTTTATAATGACATTAAATTAACAGAATACAGACGCCATAAAGACTCAGCTTGTCAATGTGTATTGAAAAGATTGCTTAGTGTTATGGAAATATGTACGATAATGGGTAGGAGTCAGTGGCGGCTGGTTGATTTTGGGTATACCAATATTTCAGTTATTAGACATAGGACCCATACCAAATTTATAATAGTTTATAATGACATTAAATAGACAAGTTCGGCCCAAACAGAATTTAAATTGAAGTTTGCGAAAAAAAGTTATTTTTTCCTGTCGCCTCACCCGCCTCCAGGCCCCCCTATTTGAGATAATTCAAATTAAGGTGGTGCAATTTATAATCTACTATAATTTATAAACAAATTTAAAATTTTATTTTAAAAATACAAATATTACAGGTTTTATACCATTTTAAATATTTTTTTATTTTAATAAAATAAATAATAAAAATTTAAAATCGAATTATTTCATTATCTCAACACAAAAATACAAAATTATTAAACAGTTTCTTCACGCCAATATTTGCACGTTTGTGTTGACGTTTTGATTTCGCGGTACACTTGTATTTGAAGATAACGTATTAAATAATTCGGGTAGAGTACCCTTAACACATCCTCTTTACTTTCACTTAAAAAAAACTAGCTGCCATTTTGAAAGCCGGAAAAACAAGTTCACAGGTTAGGTACTGAATTTTTGTAAAGATTTCGCTCTATACAAATATTTAAAATAATTAGTAATAAATTGTTTTTTATAACTACTAAAACTTGTAGTAGAAAAAGTTTAGTATGCAACTCAATTATAAACTTTTCTAGACACTCATTTCGAAAGCTCGCTCGTGCCTAATTAAAATTCGTGACTTAAATGGCGTTTATCAAACTTTATACTTACATAATATACTATTTTACGGAGAAACAACAACATTAAAATATTTAATAAAGAATGTATAGTCAAAGTCTAGCACTTTCTCATTACACAAACAAAAACACTTAATTTTTTCAATTTAAATTAAACTTCTACAAAGTACTTGCTTCCGTACTTGTTAATTGCATGCAATTATTACAATAAAAACTGACGTTTTAAAAAAAAGTAAAACTGGCACACTGTGATCTTTTCTGATGGACGGTGTGGTGCGCTATCTTTAACAGTTGGTAAATGTTTTGGCAGTTTCTGAAGAATAACCTGTTACTTTTATCGCTAGGTAAATACAATATGCCCATGGGCCGTAGTTTGGTTATTTTAGTAAAGATGGCAGCACTTATATTGAGCTGGCAACCCAGCCAGCAGAAGGCGCCAATCGAGTCCTGTTACTAAAAACTGTTTTTTTAAGACGCCGTTATAATATTTACTTGGTAAGTTTTTTATTATAGAGTTGTGGAAAAAAGTGTTATTGAATTGCAATATATTTTTTAGGTATTCAAGCTTAGATTTTGGTAAAAAGCGATCGATTTAAGCTAACACCTTAGAAAAAAACATGACCTAACTTAATTTTACTTCATGTGTAGCAATATGCCCACCATGCGGAGTTGGCAATATGCACATGGGCATATTGACAGCTCTTTGCTTTTATACAATTTATTAGTGTAAATTATTACAGGTATAACGGGTAAATTGAGAAATCAGGGCATTCGGGGTAAGTGGAGAAGAGAAGACGGCAGTCGCAGCTGTGCAGGAAGGTCGAATGTCTCGGAATCGTGCTTCAAAAACATTTTTAATACCGAGAAGAACTCTATCCAGATATGTCGATAGTAACCGATCCAGTAAGGCAATAATGGGGCGGAAACCAGTACTGAATTTTGATCAAGAAAGAGAACTGCCTGCAAGAATAATCTGATTGGCAGAGGTTGGTTATAACATCAAGGACACTTAGAAGGTGTGTCTTTAATTTCTGCACCAAAAATGGTGTAGAAAATAATTTTTCTACCATGTCCAAAATGGCTGGCCGGTATTGGCTTAATGGATTTTTTAAACGAAATCCTACAATAAGACAAAGAAAAGCACAAAGTATGAATCCGGCGCGTGCCCAGAAACTAAACAAGTTTATCGTTAATGATTATTTCGCAAAATTAAAAGAAGTTCTTTTGCAACTGGATCTCATGGATAGCCCAGAGAAGATTTTTAATGTCGATGAAAAAGGGTTCAGATTAAGTTTACACTACCAACAATGTGTGCTAGGGCGCAAAACGTGTACATTTGGGGGCACCAGAGCACGGAGAAAACGTCACAATTGTCTCATATGGCAATGCTTGTGGTAATTCCATTCCACCAACAATTCTATTTAAAGGGAAAATATTGAAACCAGAATGGAAGGACGCTTTACCATCGGGATCACTCGTGCTTATGACCCCTAAGCCTAGGTAGCATGAACATTACCACATTTTGCACCTGGATTGAACATTTGGCTAAATATAAACCCCCAGGAAAGTGTCTTTTAATTTTTGATGGAGACAAATGCCATCTGGACTATACGATCGTTGATGTAGCAAAAAAACATAATGTTGTAATTTTTTGCTTACCAAGCAACACTACCCTTGAATTACAACCCATGGATAAATCGGTGTTTCGTTCTTTTGAATACCACTGGGATGATCAAGTACTACAATATTGGACAAGATACAAAGATCGAATGGGGTGGGATAAAAGCGCAACACCAGCAAATATAAAGGCAGGCTTTGCCGCATGCGGTATTTTTCCTTTCAATCCCAAAGAAATACCGGAATTGGCATTTGCCCCTAGTAAAGTTACCCAAAGAGAAGAATCACAAGAACCTATCGTCGAACCCACGAGAGAAGCTTCCCCTATAGCAGAGCCATCAAATATCAGAAAAAGACCAGGAGCAGAAAACATGCCTCCGTTTCTGGATACCTCTGATTCAGACGATTATTTATGAGATGATTTAGATGATGATATGTGCCCATTGAAAGAACTTAACAAATCAATAACAGAAATGTTAGAGACCCCGAAAAAATGGTCAAATCAGTAACAAGTTTTAGACAGAAGGCCATAAACAGTCGAGCTCTTGTAGTAAAAAAAACAGTTTTTGACAAAAACGAGATATCTACAACATGTAAAGTTACGTCAACCCCCAAAGCTACAACAACACCTAAAGATGTGTCAAAACCTAAAGCTTCAACACCTAAGGCTACGACAAAGAAAAATACCACAGAAAAAGCAGATGAGCAAGATTTTCATTGTCCAGTGTGTCAGAGGAATGAAATTTCTGATATGCGTCTGTGCGTTGTCTGCAATAAATATATTCATGAGGATTGTGTAGGTTTAACCAAGGAAATGAAAGACATTTTTATTTGCCCATTATGCAAATAATACTTTTTAAATTTTTGACTTTTTCATAATTTTCGACTTTTCGTTATGTAATGTACTCTAAGTTTTAAATAAATATTTCACTTGTAATAACTTTTTTATTTAATTTTTGACTTTTTAATACATATTATTATATAATATATTATGTTTGGCATATTGCCAACACCGTGTTGGCTGAGAGTTCTCTGTGATTTAGTGTTGGTTTTCGGGCTCACAATTGGTAACACCATTTGGACTTGAGCCACTAGACTAGAGATGGGTAGGTATTTTAATACCGCGATTTTGTCGCTGTATTTTTTAGGAACGGAGCGTCGCGCTCCACAACCATCAATTAACCTGTTACCAAGGAACCGAAGAAACTACGATGTTATTATATTCATTCGCGCCCGGCCGCCATCTGGAGGAGAACAACAAAATCGCAGTATCGGCATCGTTTTATAAGTTTTTATTATAGTGTATTTATTATAGTAAGTATTATATTGACTTAAAAAGGCAGCGTTTAATAGATACGTTTTCATTTAATTTTGTTTTATTTTTTTTAGAAGTGTGAACCAGCAGTCCACCAATTTTTACAATGCGACATGAGAAACCGCCATCAAGCGAATTTCTTTACCCGGGATACACGGGTATTATCGCGTCGCCGCGCCGTGGGCCTTCTCTCCGTGCCGCAACAGCCTGATCCTAAAGTCGGCGAACCCAAACAACCAGTTTACATTTTATGTACGTACATAGTACGTCGACCTTCGACGTACCTTACATTTTAAGTACGTACTGCGATATCTTATGTACATCCTAAGTACGTACTAAGTACGTCCAAATTCCACTCGATAATACGTTTTATGTATGTACATTTACCAAGTATTAAGAACGTAGTTTGTACATAAATAAATCGTACTTTTCTTCCGCTTTAGTTAGCCCAACTATAATTTGTTTGATTTAACTAAATTAAAAAAAACATTTTTTTATATTTTTCAAGAAACTTGAAATTCCTTGACGCATTACTAGTACACTACCAGTGGTATTATTCCAGAATATTGAACCTTCAGCTCTCTAGAGGAAATGCGTTCACCTACTTGAGAAATTCTTCAAGAATAGACAGCTGTTTCCACCTATTTAAGGTCTCTTTAGTATCAAACAACTTGTATTGTCACGCCAAAGTAAAGGACCATCTGAGCCTATATACTCTTCATGTAAGTCAACAGAGGCGAGATTTAAGAACATCACGTGATCCACACCGCCTTTGCCGCGATCGGTACACACTATGCAACCAGGAATACTTTAGAAGTATTTTGTACATACCTTCTTTGTACATACTATGTACGTACTGAGGACGACTGAACCTTACATTTTATGTACATAATATATAGTACGTACTTAATACATATTTTTTTGGTCTTAAGACGTAAGTACGTAAATATAACCAAAAATGTACATTTTTAAAACGTACTGTGTTGTTTGGGAAGTGTCAATCATTGCCAGTTACTAAATCGCGGTATATTGTCGCGGTATTTTTCTGGAACTGTCGCATGGAACCGCGACAAAAAGTAAACCAGTATTCCCATCTCTACATCAGAAGACTGATTGTTCATTGAAAAGCGCAGCGGTTTTATAGGCGAAATTCTGGTGACAGGCTTGATTTAAAACAATTGGGGCCGTGTGAAATGACATCCGTCCCAGGGGCCGTGTGCTACAGGTGTTGACAAATGTCAAAGCGCCATCTGTTAAAGTTCAGTCTAAATGCAGGTTTCTGGTTTTCCAATCTTTCCTTGACGTCGGGTAATTAGGAAAATCATCTCATATATGTCGTAATGTGCATCGTTACAAATTTAATGGAGAAGTGAAATAAATGAAATCTTAAATGTGTATTTGAGTCAGTCAGGTTTGTGTTGAATAACTATAACAATACTGCTCAAATAAATCAAAAAATGTATTAGCATTATTTTTAATATTTTCCTATATTTTGTGCATGCTATCCGTCTATATACATTTGGGCACTTTTTACAACCATAAGCTATACACAAAATCATCGAGATACTATACTGCCCAAAAAAGGCAAAGAGCAGTAAGTGACTAATCATCAGTTTTGAATAAATTGAAGTTTGTGCCTTATGCCTTCCAATATGTTATAATAAGGTAACATACTGCTGTTTGCCATGCCTTATAATTCTGTTAGACTTATAAATTAAAAAAAGTATTCAATCAATTCCCGATCAAATATAAAACATTTTTAGGGTTTTTGTCACTTGCCTTTTGCCTTTTTTGGGCAGTATAGTATCATTAATGTGATTATGACAATTTTAATAGTATACAGGGTTTCCAAAATCACCGGACGAAATTAAAGGGGTCGATTCCTTGCAAAAGTTTAAGATAAGTTTTTCTTTACCATTTTTTTTAGTTCGCAAAATTTCAGGAGTTCTTTAATTTTTAAAGCCACCAATGACATCGCAGTGTTTCTGCTTTATTGGATGGGTTTTTGTAAATTTCTTTGGAAAAAGTTAACAAAAACAATTTCGGTGCGTGTTTTCGAAAGCGCTGTTTTAAAAGGCGGGGCTCGCCCTATAGAGCAGAAACACTGCGCTCTCATTGGCGGCCTGAAATATTCAATAACATCTGGAATATCCGAATTCGAAAAAATTGTAAGGAAAAACTCGTCTTGGAATAACGAAGAATTAACATTTAACATTTGGGCGCCAATTTTCTGATGCTACCAATTTTGGGCCTTAAAAATTAAATAAGTCCTACAATTTTGCTATTTTAAAAACATGGTAAACGCAATTTCATATTCACAAGAAAATTACCCCTTTTGTTTGGTCTGGTGATTTTGGTACACCCTATATATTTGTTGGTACTTGGACAGTTTTAAAATAGGTTTAAAAGGGTATCCGGCTTTTTTATTTAAGACAGCTATTCGGACCGTTTTAAAATTATCCGTTTTAAACAGTTTAAGGCATTCTTTCTTAATAAAAAAAATAAATAAAATAGTTTAAACTAATAATAATAATAATAATTATTATTATGGTGATTGTAAATATTTTGATTTTGATCTAAAAAAAAGTTTCTGTATAAAATATTTGTTTTAATAGATAAACATATTTTAGAAACAGTTTTCATTAAATGTAATATGTTACACAATTTTCTATCATTGCTAGCATATTAAAATCAAAATGAACTTTATCACTAAATTAAATAATTTTATTTGGATCTTAAAGTCCCAGTTTAATTATTCAAAAATGTAAAATATGTGCAATAAATAACAATTTATTGATGATGTACACCCCCTTATTATTGGAGCTACAATGTCGGTTCAATTAGCAAATTGTTTTTTCTGATGTAAATGTTAAAAAAAGAAAAAATTGAACTTTGGGTTTCTGAAATTTTCACAAAAATATTTTTTTTAAACAGGACACCCTGTATATTTTTAGATATTTTAAAATACGATTTAGTTTGAGCATTGAAAATTATTATTGCATAACTACCCTAAACTTAAAAATAAACAATTAATAGCCCACTATAAGGTATTTGGATTTTAAAGTCCCAGTTTAACTATTATAAAATGTAGAATATGTGCAAGAAATAAAAATTTATTGAAGGTGTACATTGTACACCTGTACAACCCCTCAAGTTTAAATAAATAACCAAGCGGGAAAAGCGGTTAAATCGGTCAACGTGGTCTTGAAACGGTGCAAATCTGAAAACCGCAGTCTCCGGATTTCAACCATCTAGGTGACCAAATACGACCGTTACAGTTTTCAGGAAATACATCAGATGCGCTAAAATTTAATTAGTCTAAAATTTAATTTAACTTAACAGTTGTAATGGAAATTTTTGGTATAGTATTATTAATTTATTTTATTAGTGGAAGATTGTTCTATCGCTTGAAAATATGAAAAAATCGCCCTAACAACTAAAAAATCAATTTCATATATTTATAACCCATATTGATTCTGAAAAAATAGATAAAAAAGGTTCCTCATAATCTTAAAAGTTTACTTTTGTAAAGGGTGTCCCGGCAAGATTATAAATTTTGAATAACAGTGTTGTTTAAATTTGAATAAAAACGGATTTTACGAATATATCATAGGTACTTATTATACTTCTTGTAAAAATATTTAACAACCAAGAAATTGAACGTAATTAAAGAATTGACTATAAGGTACCTAAAATGGGCGCAAAAAAAATGTAGGGGGTGACAGGATTAGCAGATGCAGGGCCGGATTAAGAGTTTTGAGGCCCTGGGGCCGACATTTGGTGGGGGCCCTCAATATTTCTAAAATTTTTGACACTTGGGAAATTAAAACTCATGGTAAATTTTTAAGCTAGAGGAACTTTAAGTGATTTTTTATTTTCTTTGAATTATTTATTATTTAATAAACCATACAAATTTAAATAAAATCGGCCAAAGCGTTTTTAAGCTATAAATAAAAAACGAAACACCCTGTATCTCGATAATGAAGCATATTCGGACACTTGTTTATAAGAATTTTTTTTCATATTTTGATGAGAGGAATTTCCCCTGAGCTTTTGTCACCACAAGTCTGAATCACCCTGTATATTTTGAATAATACGAACATAACCTTATATACATTTTACCCAATTATGTAAAATGTATATAAGGTTATAAGGTTACTTAAGTCTGAGAAATTATAAATTCGTATGCAAAACTATAAAAACGTAGATAGTTGAATATAATTGTGAATGAAAGTGTTTATATACTTTATATTTTATATATTTTGAATAATACGAACATAACCTTATATAATTACATTTTATACATATTACATTTTACTCAAGTAAAATATAAATTGATCTATGTTGTGTTTGTATTTTTAATACTTACCGCAAACTGAAAAAAAGTGCATCAAAAGTCGTATTATTTGTCTGTTTTTCATACTAAATCAAACAATAAAACAATCTTTTGTCCAAAGAAAAGCACGAAACAGTATTTCGGAAACACCGGAAAATATTCCACAACACTCCAATGTAAGTACCAACAAAAATCTGGGACAAAAACTAACTTTAATATTAGATTATAAGTAATTTACTGTTTGCCTGTATTTACAAAAACGTTAAGACAAGCACTAAAGGAGCAACTGCTTAAAATTGTTATAAGTCATAACCTATGACTATAGACTATATAAAAACGTCTTCGCGCTCCAAAACTTTGAGTGTGATAATTTACATTCTGATTTGCAAGCGGATAGAGCGATAAATTAGAGTTAGATCTACGAAAAATTCATTGAAAATATATTGCATTGGTGGGAGCCCCTAAATGGTGGGGGCCCTGGGGACAAATGTTTAGCTCTGTGGGTTGCATTATACCTAAGTGCTATTGAATGAGTATATGATGTTTCAGCGCTCTATTATTCTTGTTGCATGAGTTGTTTATGTCGCAAAGTGGGAAATATATATTGTAGTAAACGTTCTCGATTTGTTTTTTTTTATTTTATGTTTTACTTATTAAAAATTAATTTTTTTTTGTTTTTGAAAATTCAACAAATAATTTAGGTAAATGTTAAAGTACTGATATAGAAGTATCTATATTCAATATATTAAAAAAATATATACTCAATATATATATATAATATTTCATTACGTAAATTAAAAAAAAAATAAACAAAAATGATTTTAATATATTTTTTTTTAAGTTTAAAAAAGCCGTTTTATAATATATATATATATATATATATATATATATATAGATAGATATTATATTTCTTTATAAAACGGCTTTTTTAAACTTAAAAAAAAATATATTAAAATCATTTTTGTTTATTTTTTTTTTTAATTTACGTAATGAAATAGGTATACAAAAGGACAGTAAAATAAAAATAAATTAAAAATTTTAGGCAAATATGTTCTGTGTATTATTGTTGTAAATTTTTAATAATTTGCAACATAAAGTAGGTAGGTATTTATTTACATAAATTATACCTAAAATACAAAGCTTTTTTGAAGTTATGACGGCAAAAGGGGATATTTTTCCAAAAATGTATTTATTTAGATGTAAAACAGTTGTCTCAAAAGGAACAAGTTTTGATAAATCAGTTTGCTGATGAAATTGGAGGTGATTCTAATGCTGAAGATGATCAACCTAAAGTTTAACGTTTTTGTTTATTATTTTGTAGGAATCGTTATCACTATATGATTTGAGCTTACTATGAAATCAGAATTAACTAATTATAAATAAACTCAATATGAAATCATCGATGATTTTCATTCATTCATCTCCATATCCACATCAGTGTAATGCGTTTAAAAAAAAATGAATTCACAATTACGTAGTAGTACTTATTGATCCCAAAATGAACTCAATATGAAGATATCAATGATTTTCATTTGTGAGTTCTATATGACATATATGTCAACCCTTATAAGGGTGATTCGCTTGAAATGCATATAGCATGCGAGAGGTACCGGGATTGATACCTGGCGCCTCCACAACTTTTTTTAAACCTAAAGCAAGAATGATTTCAATTTGACTCATGATGTCAAAGTGAACTCACTGTGGGACCACATATATATATGTTCCCACAGTGAGTTCAGTTTGCATGCATATATGCATTTGTCTATGATATCATCACTGAGTCAGCAGTAATATCACAATGATGAAATTAGGTATAAATTCAGAATTGTTCCTAGGCACCTTTATATTTTAATTTGATTTAGAAAAAATAATATTTGTTTAAAAGTTTTAGAAAGTTCTGTGGAGAAATGCTGTCTGGTCCTAAGTGTTAAACTAAATAATGGTTTTCTATACCCTTTATACTATTGTTTTTTCTTAAGGGCATTGTGATAATATTTTCCCAACTTAGAAATTAACTGCAAAAGTACAGAAAAATATATAATGTGAACATGTTCAATACAAAAGATTTTGTAATATTTCTCTAGAGAAATATTACAAAATCTTTTGTATTGAACATGTTCACATTATATATTTTTCTGTACTTTTGCAGTTAATTTCTAAGTTGGGAAAATATTATCCCAATGCCCTTAAGAAAAAACAATAGTATAAAGGGTTCTTTGTGATAATAATTTCCCAACCGAAGAAAGGGCTTTTGACCCCAAATTTTGAGTTTTTGATATACACAGTAGTTTAAGTAAACCAAAAAAACATATTCTCCAAATTTCATTTTAATTAATTTAGCTAAGACGAAAATTGCCTTTTGCCCTATATAAAGGGTTAACTTAGAAATAGTAAAATTGTATAAAGTCATGGGTAAAAAATGAGATTTAATAGTATATTATGTATTTAAATTGATAAACGTCAATTAGACACGAGCGAGTGTTTAATTAAATGAGTGTCTAGAAAAGTTTATAAACCAGTTGCATACTATACTTTTTTTACGAAAAAAACTTATTATTATTTAAAAATGATTTAAATTTAATATTGTATAAAGCGACATCTATACAAAAATGGAGTAACCGTAAGAATGGGAATGTATTACCAGCGGCCAATGTTAAATTTTTCTGTGTAAATCGAAAATTATCTTTTGAAAATGGAATAACAACCGTTTAAATTAGATATAAAAACAGTTTGTCACAGTAAAATTAAAGGGAATGTTTTATATGCACTTCACCCGAAATTTATAATGCTTTATCCGTTAAATCTGGAGCTGCTGGCGAAATTAAAACGGTCATAACAAACTTTTTAAATATTGGCGTTGAGAAAATAATTAATACTTTTAAATTTTTGTATAAAGATACATAATACAATAATTTGTACATTTAGTATTATTTGAAATAATACTAATAATAATAGTAATAATTTATTTCACAGAAAGTGCGCTTTATTTTAACGATTGTATTACATTTGACAACTGTCAACTAACTTAAAGCTAACTTCATCCCGTGACTAAAAACCTGTTGCTTACTTCAACCCGTGACTAAAGCGTCATAAAGCCATAGCTTGTCAATGTGTAAGATTGATAATGGGAGTAGAAAAAATAAAATAAACTTACCAATTTACTTTATCCCAATTGCGATTTTAAGAACATTGCTTTTTTCGTTTTCATAAAATAAATTAAAATTATATCTATTATGTTCATTTCCATTTGAATTATAATAGGCAACAATATAATATATGTACCTATATTATAGGTACGTACGCCTACAATGTAGATAATGTAGACTCTACACCGGGATTGCTACAATTCTTATTGGAGCTACAACGCCGCACTGTGGGCCAGGATTTTGTAAAACATTGAAAAATATCAAACTCAAAAAATGTATAAAATTTTATAATGTAATTATCAAAAACTAAGAAAAATAAGTTAATTTCACTTATAAACAGCTGCCCAGATAACTAAAGACCGGAGTAAAATATAACAATATTTTGCTACTTTGCAAACTTTACCCACCAGGGCGAAATTGTAAAACTTATTGAAGATCTTGTAATAGAAGAAATAGGATGTCAAAATGGAAATAATGGCACAAATAGAACTTTAAGAGCCTATATATCTCTATATATTATTTATTTTTCAACAGTTTTTGAAAAATAATATAGATTTTCATAGACATTGGGGCCGCAAACAAATCGAAACAAAGCCGAAGGTATAAGATTGAAAAAGCTGAGTTATGTAAAAAAATTATTTAAAATGCTATATTTACATTTAAGTTTTTAAGTCTTTAATAACAACTACAGAACTGCAATAACAGAAAATAATCATTTAAGTAAAATTTAGCTTTACGGCTGAATGACTACGGTCAATAGCCTTTGAACTTGGTTTTAGTTCAATAAAGCATTATTATTATTATTATTTAGCTTTAGTTGCCCAACTTTCTTAGTCGGAATCACTATCGAAGCTTATATTGCTGTCAAAACAACCAGCTTGCTGCAATAATTTCAGTGCTTCTGGGCAATATTAATAAATATATTTTTTATTTCTAATAAAATATTCTTTAAAAGTTTATATATATACAGTATGTCCCGGGATAGGGTTGCCAAGAGGAGAAACTTCTTTATTTTTCATTTTACGAGAAAAATGTATTCTTCATAATAGTTTTTGCTTGTTTCAAAATGGCTGAATCAGTTTCCACCATTTCAAATTTCCTTTCCGTTAAAGAGAAACATGAAAAAATTTGTCCTTTTAGTTGAATATTTGTTTAAGTCTTAAAAATTACTTTTTCTTACTACCTCGACTCAAAATACGTTGTTTCGTCCCCGATTTCACGGCAGAAAGTTTACGTTTCTTGCATTGGTCAAGCTATACGCGCACACTCTAATAGCGGGACTCCCGGGGTTGCCAGATATTTTTGACAGTAAGAGCCAACCTTAAAAATAAAAATAGCCCAAAAGTAGCCATATTGCCACTAAGGTCCGACCGAACCTGATTTTGTAGTCTTGGCAGGGGCGTAGCTACCGCGGTATTAGCCGTATCAATGATACGGGGCCCCCGGCTAGGGGGGGGGCCCGATTAGCTTTGACATGCGTACGCAAAAAACATTCCGATGTTAAAAAAAATGAGGCATGAAAATAAATAAATATATAAATAATATTATTATTTAATTGTTTATACTTCGATACCATTCTGTTCCAACGAGGCCGTGAACGAATTGTTTCTGCCCGCACTTTTCCGCTATGCGTTGTCTGCGGCGCAGTCTGCGCATATTGTTCTCTGTTCTGCGCCGCATACTGAGTCTGCTTTGCGTGTTATTATCATAGGTTATATTAATAGCAAATTATAAATGATTATTAGCGTTACAATAATTTCAAATGACATGCCTTTATTTTAAAATAGAAACCTTTTAAAAGACGTTGAAGAACGGTAATTACCGTTTTATTTATAAATGTCTAAAACCAGACCAAATTTTAAAATTTGCCTCTAGGTACATTTAAAGCTATTTATACATATATTATTTATTAAATTATAAAAAATTGGTAAATGCAAAAAATGATACCCTAAAAAAATTTTTTTTTTGCCAAAAATAGACTGTGGGCCCACAGTGTGGGTTTGACACCCAGAATTTTTTTTTGCCAGCAGCTTTTCCCGAATAAGGGCCCCTACCAGATTTTTGATACGGGGCCCCCTCGAGGCTAGCTACGCCACTGAGTCTTGGCCATAGAGAAACAATTCTTAATGGTCTCTATGGTCTCTCGCGAGACAGATAACATAACAAATATTGCTCTGCTCGATAGATTTATTGCATGTAAAGTTCACATTGTGAACTTAGAAGAGATTAACATTTAAAATTACTTAACTATTTAAGCATCTTAGCAAAAAGGTAATGGTTACTCAGAGCTCGTTCTCGTTTTGGTCGCGCATGCTTAGCGCTTTGAATGTCCGAGTTATGCAAAGTTTCGGCCATGGCCCATAATCTCGGCCTTTTTTAGCCAAAATCGAGAAATAGATCTCGGACAGATTTATGGACGAGAATGACCAAGATCAAGATCTCGATCGGACCTTAATTGGCACCTTGATTTGCTTCCTAGATCATGGAGCCTACACAAGGAGTCTGAACTCCATGTATATAAATGATTTCCCAAAATAGGAGGGCGCTTGTGTTATGTTTGTTGTTTGCTTTGCTGTGAAACATTGTAAGGGTACAACATGGAAATTAGCGCCGCTAGTGGTGAAAAAATAACACATAATTGGTGCGATCTAGTAGGCGGGTTCTGTCAATTCCCCCTATTGAGCTCATACTCATTGTGTATGCTTCATGCTCTAGATAAATAACTTTAACAACGTTCAAAAACAAAAACAAATTGCGAACAACTGTCAAATAAATAAAAATAATACTAAATAACTTTATTCTTCTTCTTTTGTTGCGTAAAGTTAATATCAATATCTCTATAAAATTTTGCGCATGATCAATTGGGAAAGGTCTATTTATATTCTTTTAACCAATTGTAGCCCAATTATAGCCCCTTTGCTAAAAATGTAGCCCAAAGTAGTAGCCTGTAGCCGTCTGGAATTTTTGAGAGCCAAAGAAGACGTAGAGATAGCCCAATTGGCTATAAATAGCCCAATCTGGCAACTCTGAGCGGGAGTAAAAAATTTTTAGTCGTGTACTTAACATTCAAATTTCGTACTGCCAACATGAGAAACACAAAAATATGACAGTTTTAAACCATAATTTTGCAATTATAACAACAAATAAACAAT